ATGTTATGTTATATCATGTTATATCATGTTATATCATGTAATAATAATGATGATAATGATAATAATAACATCAACAATAATAATGATAATATTTATTTATTTATTTATTTTCCTTCATCTGCCATTGGCTTCGTTTAACCCTGGCTCCCCTCTCTGCCACCACCTCCATCCCTTCAGCCTCATCAGGATGGGAAACACCTTTTCCCAGGTGGGATATTCGGTGCCAATGTCCCTGTCACTCCCCAAGGCTGCTCCCTGGGTCCCTCCAGGTCCCACCGGGTCCACTCAAAGAAGCTCTGGCCACTGCTTCCCCAGAGGGTGGGTGCCAAGTTATCGAGCACTTGATTATCAGTTTCCAGCACCAGCTGTGTCTATAGGTTAAGAAATGTAAAGAAATAGCAGCAGATAAGGCAGCATTGCTATTTATGCCCCTAGAAATCAAGTTCTGACAGTGTTTCTGTGATAAAACCTTATTTGTGAGGGTTTGTAACTCAGAAGCACAATTTGCCTGAAAGACGAAGCCTCGCTTGCCAGGCTGAAGCATTTAAAAAATATTTCAATTAAACAACGTCAGCCTGTTAGAGTGTAAAATTCTCAAGGACTTTCATTAAGGTGCTCGTTTATATCTGCAAATAAAGAATTGCAAACTCCTCCAAACCAAGGACCAAGGATATATAAAAGCTTTTTCTTTTTTTTTTTTTTTTTTAAATCAAGGATTCATAGAAAGGTTTTAATATAATTCTAGGAAATTATTCCCAGGAAAACAATTTGTTTGAAAGAAAATGCCCTCCAGTCTTTTCCACACAAAACTAGTCTTGGGCTAGTACATGAGAACCAAACTTAAAAGTGACTACGAGTAGAAATGAGACCGACTTAATTCATTTCAACTGTCCTTACTGGAATAAAAAACAATGAGTAAACAGCTTGAATGGCGAAAGGTGAATTTAATTTTCAAGGCCCTTTAACTTTTAATAATCTGAGGAACAATATGGGAGGTACATTCTACCCTCCCAGTTATCCCGATATAAATTCATTCAAGATTTATATTGGTGTAATAGAGAAGCAGAATTCGCTCTATGATTTCTAATGAACTGCTGGCTCGGTCTTTAAAAATGCAATTAGAAAAATCGAGCCTCCTAATTCAGAACAGCTTTGAGCAAAGTCAGAGGTCTTGATGCTGCAAACACGGACGGAAGCTGGTCTGTACTGCAGCTCCTCGCCGTGCCTGAAGCACGACCAGAGCCAGGCTGGGAACGCTGGAAATGGATGTGCTACAAAATTCCCGTTATTTTAGGATTTTCTTTTCTATTATATATGGGAAAAGACAATTCTCATGTGGAATAAACCTGTTTCCTGTGCTCTCAAAGACAAAAGGATTGTAGGGTGAGGTGCCTGGCCCGTTAGCGATACAGAAGGCAAGGAGCTGGCTGCCCAGTGAAACTGGTGAGAGTTGGGAAAACCCATTTGGCTTCCACCTCCCACCAAAACTTGGATCAAAGCGCTTGCAGCTGCTGTGTCAATGCAGGTGAAACATCAACACGTACGAAAGGAAGTCAAGGTCTAATTCTATCATTTTACTCCTAAGATTAGGTCTCTCAGCATTCACCACTTACTCGTGTGTGTAGGAACAACAGGACCAAGATCCTAATTTGTCTCTCTGACCTTTTGAAGTGAAGGTTTGAAATGAAGCGGCGCGGAGCAGCTGTCTCGTTTGATCTTCAGAACCTGTGAGGCAGAACTCCTCACGTTGTTTCAGTCTCCAGCGGGTTGGTGGGGGAAGATTGTCTCAGGGGAAATGTCACCTCTGACTACCTAGAAGTCCCACCTCACCCTCTTGACTGAGGACCTTGAACATGCCAGGCTGGCCTCTGACATAAGGTCAACCTGAAGGTCCTAGGAGATGCACTAAGGACATCTTCATCTTTGCTCTTATATTTCTTCATAATTCTGAGGAAATATCAGAAGATAATGAAGCATTGCTATTTATTACCCAACAATTAAAGTTCTCACACTTTTTCTGTTATAAAACATTAATTGCAAGGGTTTGTAACTCAGAAGGAAAATTTTCCATCAAGACGAAGCCTTGCTGACTGAGCTGGGTATGGTTAAAGTATCACTGATCAGTAAGTAAACCAAGGCAGAGCACCACCTCACCAAGAAGCTGGGTGAGACCTCCTTTGGTCACGGTCCTGATCAGGGCGTGTACTGACGACAGCACAAGTCTTCAACTCCAAACCACAGAGTTTTGGTGTATCGAGTGTGTTCACCACAAGCCCTAGTGCAACGTTACAGCATCTCCGCTTTCCCTTTTGTTGTGCAGAATGACTCACTGTGAAACTTGAACCGATTCGCTTTAATTGTGCCATGCCTCAGTTTCCCCATCAGTAAAAACAAACAACAACAAAAAAAGTCTAATTTGGTCTTGCTGGTGCAAGGTGTGATAACATTAGTCAACATCTATGATACACTCTGGTAAGAAGTGCAAGTTAGTCCTGTTACTTGGTTCTACCAAGTATGACGACCACACCTATGCACGCTGTCTTGAGAACGCTACTTCTGCTCAACCACATTAAATACCTAAACCCAGTCTGGGCTTTGGCTGAGCAGAAATGAGGAGGAACCAGCACACAAGACAGATGATACTGCAAAATTACAACTCTACAGTGCTAGGAAATATCTGAACACTTACCGTTGGATCTCGCTTGGGTTTTTTTGATCGCTTGATGCAGTAATTTGAAAGAGGGGTACCACGTGGTCTCTCTCACACTGAAAAAGGACAGTTTAGCATCTTGATGGCATCAGAAGGCACGTGTGCCCACATCTTTCACCTGCTGTGGATGGAGCTCAGGCAAAGGAATGATGCTGCTGGGTGACAGCCTGCCGGGACGGGGAGAGGAGCCACCGCACCTGATACGAGGGATGCTGAAACCACAGCTGTTCACAAAGAAAGGTCTTACCAGGCTTCAGATTGTAACGCCTTACCCAGAATCCTCTTCTTGCTTCTTCCCAGAGCGGAGTTGAAAATCTTGGAATTGTCATAACGTTTTATTATCACTTGCAAAACAGATTCTACTTCATCAGATAAAGACACAATTGCATTCATTGACTCTGACACAAGGATATGCATAGTGATAAACACACAGATAGATGTACACACTTATACATGAATGAGATATGCTAATTAAAAATTGCAGTGGGCACTTTATTAAAAATTTATTGTACAATCTCCATCTTCAAAACATTTTACATCAACAAATATAGCAGCTTGACTGCTGGAATCAGAAGTGATTTATCTTTAAAAGACTGGATTTGTAACTGGATGCAAAGATTCTTGATGAACGGCCGATCCATTTAAACTACTGGTTTTTATTGGAAGTATTCTGACCGTTATCTGTTTGTTCTCCATCCTTGAGAGAAATAAAACAAGTGTCTCGGCTTTCATTTTATCGGATAGATGGCACCATGTAGCATATTTCCCATGCTAGTTTGAATTACAGCTGTTTATCTTTCAGCTTTCTTTAAGATTAATTAAATGCAAATGTAACTCGGCGAATCATGGGATTACCTGCCAGACCCCTTATTAATACCTTCACTTAAAAACCCCTGTGCCAGAGAGTCATTAATTTGCGCAAAAAAAAAGAAAAAAAAGAAAAAAAGGAAAAAAAAAAGTGCTAAAGCAGCCCTTTGCCTCCAAACAAACCCAGAGATGGCTGCCCAATTAGTCCGGCAACATTCGGATCCTCCTTTCAGGCCCTGTGGCCCTTTGAGGACACAATAAGGCTCCAATGATAACCTGGCAACCTAGGTAGAAACTCAGCCAAGTGTGAGCTTTTGAAGCTGCAGCTTGGCTGCCATCGTGTCGGCGAAAAGAAAGAATTCAGGCACCATGTCATCCAGTACAAAGGATAAAAACAGATTCAACCGGAAATTCAATGTGGCACCACATATGGGATACATGAGTGCGGTTATACAACAGGCCACATATTTTTTTTGAACAGTCTCCTGCATGTGATGCCGAGGACATGTGTAACCATCATAACGTCTCTAAGAATCTGTATTTAATTTGAGCTGGGGTGGTGGCAGGGATTGGAGATCTGAAGCCGCCACAGGTTTGTGGCAGATGGCTCTGTGTCAGCTATGACAAGCAGCCAGGCTCGGCTTCCTCTGCAGATTTTCTTTTCTCTCTGATCAGGTAAATATGGGCACACTCTGGAAACTTCCACAATTCTGCCTGAGGCTGCAAGTTTGTGACTTAGCCCCATCTGTCACAAATCTTCTCTCGGTTCTGCTGCGAGCAGAGACCTGAATTTACCGCCGAGCGCTGCCCAAGAAAACCCAGCCGTCTCGCCCTGCGAGGAAGCAGAAGAGAAAAGCACATGAAGCTGCGTTAGATGCCGGCACACGAAAGGGACATCTCGAGCGCAGCTCTGTGCTCAAACGCTCTGCAACACCCGGGATGTCAGGAGGGGTGGAAGGGAATGGATCAGAGAACGCTTCCGCAGCATTATTTGGAAATGGGGTAAAGTCAGCATTTTTTTTTTAAAGACAAGTAAGCTGGTTGGTAGCTCCAGGTTATTTGCTTCTGGATGAGCACCAAGTAAATAGAGCCACAAAACTGGTGAAGGGTTTAGAGGGGAAGCCAGATGAGGAGAGGCTGAAGTCGCTTGGTTTGTTCAGCCTGGAGAAGAGGAGACTGAGAGGAGATCTCATGGGGGTCTAGAACTTCCTCCCAAGGGGAAGAGGAGGGGCAGGCGCTGATCTCTTCTCTCTGGCCACCAATGCCAGGAGCAGAGGAAATGGCAGGAAGATGCACCATAGCAAGTTTAGGTTGGCCATGAGGAAAAGGTTCTTGAGGCAGAGGGTGGTGGAGCACTGGAACAGGCTCCCCAGGGAGGTGCTCATGGCACCAAGCCTGACAAGATTCCAGAAACATTTGGCCAAGGCCCTCAGGGACATGGTCTGAATCTCGGGATTGTCCTGTGCAGGGACAGGAGTTGGACTGGATGATCCTTGTGGGTCCCTTCCAACTGACAAAATTCTATGATTCTATGAAATGTTCATCTGCTTTATTGGAGGTCTTGGTGGACACATCAAGGACTGAACACCCACAGGGACCAACCTGCCCCTCTTACCCTCAGACATGTCAGAATCAAGAACTGGCAGGAGTAAGGGCATAATTCCCCTGCTCAACCATTGCTGGTCTGGCTTCTGGGCCTTATTTTAGAGGAACCTTGGAGAGAATTTTTTTTATTTGGGGGTGATAACTCCACAAAGGTCTGGGCATTCACTTTTTCAAGGAATAGTGATTCAGTCAACAGTTTCTAAATATTCAGAGATAAAAACATCAACAGAAGCAAAGTTTTCATATAAAGCAACATCTCCCCAAGAAAACAGGCAGCATATGTCAGCAGTAGTACAATATTCTTCATAATATAATCAACTCTTTTGTTTCTTGTGTCCTAAGATAAGAACTGAAGTAATTATTATCTACTCTGCCATCATTAGACTTCAGAGTTAACCTTTAGAATTTAATAAGGACTGTTCATCCATTCAGACCTGCTGTTCCTAAACAGCTGGAGTTCAAGCAGACTACTGATTTCACGTACATTTTATGCACTTTTTAAAAAAATTACCTTAAGAAAAATAAGAATTAGAGACTATTATTCAGCACAAAACCTGAGATTTGGCAGGCAAGACAACAGAGTGATTTACAGAGCCAGTTTGTATCAGGTCAGCCTTACTCTGTGACCCAGCTCCTTCCCTCTCTTGAGTACTGGGGAAGAATCAATGTAGAAAGCAGCTTGTAGTAGTCACTTTTGGAGGTCAACTTGCAAACTCCAAGCACTTTTGGAAACCACCATCAAAAGATAGCATTGGTTTACATGATAGTCAGAGCTATATAATACTCCTCAGTAGAGTAACAGTATTTCCCTGAACAAACTGGTCTGTTCTGCAGTTTCTTATATCAGCCTTTTACAATTCATTAATTCTTTTTTTTTAAACAAACAAACAAAAATCAAATGTTGGATGTGAGTCTATGCAAGATCTGACCAACTACAACAGCAGGAGAACAGTTCCAGGCTTTCTTTCTCAAGGTAATTTGAATAAATGTTACTAAAAAAAATAAGTTTTCATGCTTTTTCTAACTTTTCTTTCAAAGTCAATCCTATTCCTTTGACCCATTTCTCCATCTACCGTTCTGCGGCGGCCATGGTTCATCTGCCAGTTTTCATTTACTTTCTTACATGAAAGTAATATCTATGGCTGGATCCCAGAATGACCTAGCAGGCAACTTCAACAGCCTACCTGCTAGCTCATTTCTTCCACAGTGAGGATGCCCATTAGCTAGCAGACCTCACTCTACCACAACTACTTCCAGACCAACACGCTGCTTGAAGACTTCAAGTTGACCCAAAATGCTTAAGTCCAGTAGATCTTCCCACCTATGCAAAGCTCCTAAGCTGGCTGGACTTCACCTGTATTAGCCATACATATGGGAATGAAAAACAACCAAGACTCCAGTCTAACCTGGATGTGATCCTGAGCAACTTAATCCAGTTTTGAAGTTAGATCCTACTTCGAAGCTGGTCCTGCTTTGAGCAGAGGCTGATGAGATGACATCCAGAGGTACCTTCCTTAATTACTCTATGATTCTGAGCTCTAAATAAGGAACTCAAGTTTTCTTTCACATAAGAAATCCTTACATTATACACATTTTACTTAGGATCCCATGCCTAAGCACTGACACAGAGATGGGAGAGCGTGGACAACAGCATGCTGCACTCCAGCGTTCCCAGGCTGCTATAACCTTCCCATGCAGGCTCTGAGCAGCAGATCTAGACCACCTCTGAAACCATTTTAAATTATGCTCACTGGAAACCTAACATCTCAAGAGGCAAAAACAACTTTCCCACTTAGAATCATAGAATCACAAAATGGTTTTGGTTAGAAGGGACCTTCTAACCACCTTCCACTAGACCAGGTTGCTCAAAGCCTCATCCAACCTGGCCTTGAACACTTCCAGGGAAGGGGCATCCACTTGTGCTTCCAACCTCTTTCTAGCCTGCACCTAAAGCTAACCAGGTAGAAGCACACATTCAATACAATGCTGTCTTTATTCTCTGCAAACATGTTCTGCTGATGAACACAAAGCCAGCAGGATGGATGGAAATATTTGTACTATTTGCATATCCTGTAAAGCTCTAAATTAACTTTAGCAGCTCAGGACAAAAGATCTGGAGAACACTGTAAGCAAACATCTGCTCAATATACATTCACCATTAAAAAGGAAACGGTAGGTTTGGCTCCATAAGGAACAGGTTGAAAATTATCAGAGTATAACACATCACATAAACTGGTGGTGTGGCCTAGAATGCTCTGTAAAGCAATGATCACACCAGCGTGAAAACAGCTCTCAGGCATCAAAGGCTTGAATGATGAGAGATTAGAATATAAACATGGAATAACATTCATGAGAAGAGACTGAAAAGACTGGGATACTGTAAGTGTTTGATAAATGTTTATAAAATAATGAATGGGGAAATGGACCTGGGGTTTCTGGTGGACAGAAGGATGACCATGAGCCAGCACTGTGCCCTCATGGCCAAGAAGGCCAATGGCATCCTGGGGTGCATTAGAAGAGGTGTGGTTAGTAGGTTGAGAGAGGTTCTCCTCCCCCCTCTACTCTGCCCTGGTGAGGCCACATCTGGAATATTGTGTCCAGTTCTGGGCCCCACAGTTCAAGAAGGACAGGGAACTGCTTGAGAGAGTCCATCGCACAGACACAAAGATGATTAAGGGAGTGGAATTTCTATCTCCCTTATGAGGAAAGGCTGAGGGAGCTGGGTCTCTTCAGTTTGGAGAAGAGGAGACTGAGGGGTGACCTCATTAATGTTTATAAATATGTAAAGGGTGAATGTCAGGAAGATGGAGCCAGGCTCTTCTCAGTGATGTCCAACAGTAGGACAAGGGGCAATGGGTGCAAGCTGGAGCACAGGAGGTTCCATGTAAACATCAGGAAAAGTTTTTCACTGTGAGAGTGACAGGCCACTGGAATAGGCTGAACAGAGAGGTTGTAGAGTCTTCTTCTCTGGAGACATTCAAAACCCACCTGGACGCCTTCCTGTGTGACCTACTGTAGGTGATCCTGCTCTGGCATGGGGGTTGGACTAGATGGACTTTCGAGGTCCCTTCCAATCCCTAACATTCTGTGTGATTCTGTGAATGGTATAGAAAAGATGGATGGGGAGCTTCTGCTCCAGAATGAGAAGACACTCACTGCAACTGAAGGTGAGGAAACCCTGAACCAACTGAAGGAAATAACTTGAATGTCATCTGTAAACGTATCATGAACTGCTTTGCTACAGGAAGATGGGAAAGACAAGAACAAGGGTTTCCAAAGGCCTGAACGTCAAGTGGAGAACTTAATACTAAAAGGTTATGAAAAATGATAAAATCTCCAAGTCCAGGGTTAGGATCAATCTTTAAAAGGTAAAGAAGAGACTTGTGTCAGCCTTCTCACAAATATCCATCCAATGCTCATCGCTATCAAAACCATGGTATTAAACACCACGTGTGCTGATCCAGAGTGAGTCAGCATCCTTATGGAAAAATACATTTCTCGTGGAGTTTTGCTGGGGAGCAGGTAAGGATAAAGGCAAAGGCATCATCCTTGGCACTTCCATGGACTGTACAAGAACTATGAACAACTACTGCTCCTCACAACAGGGCTGAGTGGCTGATGGAACATCTGGCATGATGTTCCCCTGTATCCTCACGTGTCCAGTGCCTCCTATCCTTTGGCTGAGAATGACTCCTGTTGCTTCCCTAGCTGTGCCTAAATAGTAAAGCTGGACCAGGAGCAGTTTTCCTTGAAATACTAAAGATAATGCTTTATCTCAAATCAGAGCAAAAGGAAAAGGAAAAAAGAAAAAAAAACCCAAGAATCAGTTTTGTTAGAACTGCCCTATCCAGCCAAATCCTGAGACTGGAAACAATTCAGATGTCTATGGTCTAACTGGGACCTTAATTTGATTTTACAGCAGTTTAATCCCTTTGAATTCAGCAGACTTCCTTCTACAGTGGTGTAAGAAAGAAAGAAATCACGCCATGTGTCTTTTCATAGGCAGGTGAGCTTCTGTAGTGTGATGGAAATGAGAAGATGAATGTCAGAAAGTGGGCCAAATTCTTTCCTCCGTTAAACAAGCATGAGTGAGAGTAGGATTTTTCTGTAGGAACTGAAGCTGACAGCATGTCAACCAGCACTCATTCAGCTGGGAGGGCTGGGAGAGATTATTTAAAGTTGTCAGCTCCTTCCATGCCTGACTTTTGGCAACTCTTCTTGTCCCTTTCCACTGTATACTCTTTATACATGCTGTTTTAAATTAAGAAACTGAAGTGAGGGAACTGAAAGGTAAACTTAAAGAAAATAATGCAGAAACAAATGCTTTGCCCTATTTTTTTTTTTTTATTATTTTTTAAATTTTAAATCTACTAGATAGAGAACTTGGAATCACTGACAGGTCTTATGGTGTGCTCCGACGGAAACTGATGCTCTGTTGTTGATATTTGCTTCGTTCTGGCGCTTACTTTGGCAACCACAAATACCCAGAACCAGGGAGCAACGTTTGATTCCATAAAACTGGAACAGAACAAATAATTGATAACAAATGGAGTTTGCTTTCCACTCATCTCAATCTTCTGCTAATAACTGGTGAAATGCAAATGAGCTAGCCTTGGGTACTCTGACAATCCACAGAGTAAGTTATACACAGAATCATCGAATGGTTTGGGTTGGAAGGGACCCTCCAAGGTCATCTAGTCCAACCCCCCCTGCAGTGAGCAGAGAGATCTTTACTAGAGCAGGTTGCTCAGAGCCCCATCAAACCTGACCTTGAATATCTCCAAGGATGGGGCCTCCACTAGCTCTCTGGGCAACCTGTTCCAATATTGAAGAACTTTTTCCTAATATCAATAATATATACATCATTTGGAAAGGTTTTTATAGGTGCTTACATTATGGACACTTTAAAAAAAAAGTCTGCTCAGTTGAATTAAGCTATTGGAGCTGAATATATCGGTGTATGCATCTTCACAGGGATATTCCCTGTGTCCACCTCCCTAACCTGCTGGCCCCGCTGCCCGTTATCTCCCTTTTGCCCCCAACTTTCTCAGCACAAGCACCGAGGACAACTGAAGGAATAAACCGCCTGTTTAATTAGACTATCGTCTAATTATTATGCATATCCTCAGTAATAAAACCCCGAAAATATGTAAAAGGATAACCCAAGGTACTTCTGATGATGAGTCTCCATCTCTGGAGATGTTCAAAACTCACCTGGA